TTTTGAAGGACCTGAAAAGATAGGGATACGACTACTAATTAATTTGGTCTCAAGGTAGTATTACTGCATCTGATCTAGAGAAAGCTTCTCGAGTACAGCCCATCGGTACCGTAGGTTTCAAGGTGTGCCCCTAACCTTTTAAAAGCATCAGGGGATGGGGCTGTAACAACTGCTCAGGGGACGGAATTCCACAGTGTGTGGATTCTAACTGCAAATGAGTTAGCACAAATCTTTGCACGTACTTTCTCGGGCTCTGTTCTTAACGGGTGACCCCTCAGATCGCGTTTCCGACTAAAGCTCAGAAGGGATCTGTTAGGATGGAGAAGATTAAGGGAGATGTGGTATATCATGATCATATCCCCTCTGATACTCCGGTATTGTACTGGATGCAGCTGGGGAGCAACTAAGCGGTCTGGGTACGGTTTGTGCAGTAACTTAATCACTTTCTCTGTAGCTCTTTTCTGTACCCGTTCCGGGATGGCTATGTCCTTTTTCAAGTATGAGGATATCACAAGCTATTTTCTTCGAGATGAGGGCGAATGTACAGAGCATACACTGTGGTGAAAAGAGAAGGGATTAGACACCCTAAAGTTCGCAAGAGAAACCCCAAGATTCCATAAGCTCTATTGGCTGCGAGGCGACAGTGGACTGGGGCTCCTAGTATATCGTTTAGAGGAACTCTCAGATCTTGTTCCATGTTAGAGTGACAGATTTTTATTTCCCTCAGAGAGCAAGAACTGGGACTGCCTTTATGCTTGTCAACTATCATTATCTGACACTTCTTTGAGCTGAGAGGAAGCAGGTTTTCTATAGTCCAGTTAAGCTTTTTCATAAGGTCCTCCTGGAAGACCGAAATATCCGTTGGCTCCTGCATTTCCCTCCAAATCTTCAGATCATCGGCATATAATAGTGAATGTGAATTAAGAACCCCTGGTAGGACATTGGTAAGGGCAAGAAACAGTAGTGGGCCCGGTATAGAACCTTAAGGCACACCACTCAGCATCGGGAACCAATTAGATGGAGAGAAGCCGACTCTGACTGCACCCTGGTGTACATATAATCTCTAAGCCAAATTAATAATTTTCCCTGAACACCCATTAGCTGGAGTTTCTTACAAAGGATATAATGACTCACTGTGTGAAAGGCCTTAGAAAAGTCAGGTAAACCAATGTGTATAGGCCTTTTCTTCTCGACAGAGTGTCCAGCCATTCCGAGCTATCTACAAGTTGGTGTTACATGACCTTCCTGGTAGAAAGCCATGCTGACAGTCGTTTAGGATTGATTTCTGAAGTGACCACGTAGTGAGCCATCTATGGCTCTCTCCATGACCTTCGCAATTGAAGAGATCGGGGAGGTCGGTCTGTAGTTGGAGGGCAGCAGTTTGTTTCCACCTTTGTAAATTGGGACCACTGCTACCCGTTTCCAATCAGAGGGTAACCTGCATTCCAGAGACGAGCATTTGAAGGGGTCTGCTGATTGGGCGCACAGAAATTCAGCACACTCTGAGTGCTCTTGGGTGAATCCCATCGAGTCCCGGAGACTCATTCGGGTCCAGTCTTTTTAATATTTCCACAATTATAGAGGGTTTAAACTCCATGTGGTTTAGCCCATCTGTAATACAGGTGTCCGACAGATGCGTGGTTTCGCCTCCCGTATGACAAAAGTTGTTTTGGGATTCATGAGCTGGTATGTTTGCAACTTTGGAGTTAGAATGCAGAATCTTCAAACTAATGGGGTTATGTAAACTAGGTGAACTGTTACTCTTCTGTTTCATCAGCGAGTTCAGTATCCCATGATTCCCTTCCAGGGTTCTACAAAGTTGTGTCTGGTAGTTTATTCTGTCATCTCTGATCCTTATCATACATCTGTTACGGATGTCTTTACGATTTGGCCAGCCAAAAGGGCTGTTATTGCACCACCATAGATTCCAAGATGACCGTTTTCGCCTTGTTAGTTTCTGCGTGCTTGACTTAAGCCAGGAGTAGTAGAACTTGTGGGTTCTCCTTGGAATCAGAGGAGTGTTGTCTTTTATCGTCTGCAGGATTGTATTCTTCAACAGATCCCATCTGGCATCAAGATCCAGTAGGCCATCGCACTTTAAGCAAGCGGAACCTTCTAGATCTTGTCGGACCCTCTCAAAATCAGTTCTCCTGTAGTTCCTGGCTAGTGGCTGATCGGGAACGGGTGGCTTAGATATAGAAATATTGAAGGAGGTAACTGCATGGCCACTCGAGCTAAGAGGGCTGAAAACATTCAAGTTGCTTACCCCAATGAACTGATTTGTGAAAATATAATGTAGTCGGGATGCCTTACCGTCAAGCCCCCAGAGAATACACTGGGAAGCACGTTCCGCCAAAGAGTTTTCCAGTAACAATTCCCGAAAGTCTTATAGAGCAGTAGACGAACTTTCTGTGGTAGAGAGTTGAGGAAACTAAAAGTCTCCCATAACGAGGACCTGTGGAAAGTTCAGTTTCAGGGCTCCTCCAATGGACTGTATTGGCACTTTATTTGACGTGGCATCAGCTGCGGGAGAGCGGTATAAGACTCCAACCAAACTCAGACCCCCACAACACTTAGCACTACACCAGAGGACATCTTTAATGCCAATTGTATGAGACTGAATCTCACAGGCTTTTGAGGAGGGGCAGGTGTAAAGAGCAACGCAACCTCCTGGGCCCTCCAGTCTATCCTTCTTGATCAAGCTGAGATGTCTTAAACGAACTTCCTCGTCTTTTGGGTTCTCCGAGAGCCATGTTTCACAGAAAGCCAATATGATAGGGCTATCCTCATTCGCTAATAACCTTAACTCCGGTAGCTTGGAGGGTAGGCTTCGTACATTACTATAGGTACAGCGAATAAGAGTGTGAGGGCCGAAGGTCCCAGAAAACGGCTGAGTTAAGGGTGTGTTGCCAGCCTTTAAATGGTCAGCTTTGATAAGTTTTTCGATAGGGCGGTGGAACCGAGGGCTACTACATCCACCCATTTCTTTAACTGAGAGCTGGTGCAGGGTTCTTCGATCTGGAACAAGGTCGATAAAAACTCTTGCTCATCGTCCAACCGTCCCATCGACAGATGTGGGTTGGCCAACAGTAAGCACTTGAATCGCCTCTTAGTCTGCCTTTGTTCCCTGGGTCTGTACTCACTCATCTTTACTTCTGTAGGGAATGTATCAGATACATTATACAAGGATTCCAACGTAGTTCAAATCATGTCCGGAGAGTCAGTGGTTGCTTGGAGTAGCCTGGGAGTACGAATAGTCGAGAGGTGAGCCGGCCTTGGAAGACGATTAACTCTTTTGGCCTTCACATCGATTTGGAGTTTGCTGACAATATATCTCCACTGACTTATGTCGTGGATGATTTAAGCAGTATCGGTATCCGAACATTCGGGAATCCCATGTATGATTACTGGGCAGCATAGTTCTTGAGAGTGGATTTTCTTGATGTTGCAAAGAAGTTCTCGCACTAACCAGGGTCTTTCAGGCCTAATCCTGACGTCAGATAGCTTACGTCCCACCAACTGATGACCCTTCAGAGGGATGTGTTCAGACTGACGTGTGCTATCGAGAGGCACTCTTAAAGGTCTGGGAGAGCATATGGGGGAGAACTTACTACGCGCTAGGCGTTGAAGAGATGGACTGCAGGGGGAGGTTCCTAGGAGTTTGCAAACACTCTTCCATTAGCCAAGATCCTGTTCTTCACGATCAGCTAATAGGGAGGAGCCACCTTCCTGAACTTTGAAGAGTGTGGGTGATCTGAGATTAAGGCTTGGTCCGTATTTTGGGGCTTATTCCTACCTGTGAATACAGACTCAGATTTCTGATTAGCCTTTCGGGAGTGGCTCGGAAGACTTGAGCTGCCGGCTGATGAACTAGGCTGGTGGTGAAATGCAGGTGGCTTCGCCATGAGTTACTGGTGGTGGGACCAAGATCTGCTTTTTTCAGAACGTTTTTCACCTGAGTAGGAGGGGCAATGTTCAACTTATGGTTTAGCTTCCCATTAGGCTGGGCAGTCGTTACTTTGCCAGTCTTACGATCGTTATGTAATGATCCATTTTTAACTGATATGACCCACCTACGTTTCTTCAGAACTTTCTTTCGGGGCTTATCGGGTGTGATATTCTCGTTCATCACTGAGAGGATCTGTTCAAAGGCATGTTAACGGGGAGACAGTCCGTGACAGTGATGAATTAGCTACTTTCCTTACTGCTGACTTGAGGGGTCTTTTTATGGCAATGAGACTTCTTTAGAGGGCTATTAAGCAGTACTTCATAATAACCAGATGGCCGGCTGGAATCACAGGAGCAGTGAGTCCACTGAGAGCAAAGCTCACAACCCATTGCCTTAGATGAGAAGCTGACATTTCTGCGACAAAACACGCAGACATACTTTGAAACTGTCATTAGACTAAATTAAGGGTAGAAAAATGTTTGTTCAAAGATTTCTGAACCCAATTTACAGGCCAAAATATTTCAATGAATGGATCATTTGAATGATGTGCATAAAAGAATCAGAAGCACATATTTCATTGGGTCGCTTCGTTAACCATGTTAGCATGCCACATATGGTCAATTAAAGGTCAATTCATGCTGTTTACTCCAACACTGTAAGACTGTTCACTTGAGATGACAACATCAGAAGTCACTGGACTACACAGTAGTCGTGTACTCACTAGAATTGGTCTCTAGCACTGAATCATCACCCAACAGAACTGACTGCCAGATAACATAATGCGTCTACGCTCCCCGTTGCTACCACGCCAGTGAGATAAGCTTTCAGTAGTGCTACTAACTGCAATAATCACAACGAGTCATCAGTCTTCTATCTTCATGCATTAGTACCGAATAACAACGGTTGAATAGTGAAGACCACACATGTTGTTTGGTCAAGTCACAGAGTGTTCGACTTCTTGTGCAAGCTGTGCAGTCCGCTAACTACCAGTTGTGTAGTGTAGTGTAGTGTGGTGTAGTGTGGTAGTTTTTCCTTTCACTGTAGGTGGATTATGTCAGACAGGTGAGTCGAAGTGACTTTTTATGGTGATCATATGTTGTGGATTAATCATCTGTGGGACTTTCACCCTTAACAGATCACATCCACACTACGTGATAGCACAGTTTACTGATGAGACTAAATGGATTTAACTTTAGAGGTTATTGGGGTCCACCACCACGTGGACGTAGGTCGGATAGTGGTCGTGGAGGTCCTCGGCGCGGAGGCAGACCTAGTGGGAATGGGTAAGTCTGAGTTACCATACTTTTGTTAAAGTGGTTTATTTGTTTTTTCTTCAAAGTTAACAAAGCATTGGTTTTCTGATATTTATATTCATCAAAAGTTGGTATGTTAACCAGTCTTCAGCTATATCCATGACGTGTGTATATTTGTGACTTTCGTAGATTGCAGCGGAGTGATTAATCAGGTCAAGCATTTGCCTTCTTGTGTCATGCATCACGCTTCGAAGAGGCAGTATTATAACCTCGACAAAAGACTCTTGACACGTACTGCATGTCTGTTGGCAGTCTCACGAATGCTTTGGTTGACTCAAAACTGAAAGCCGATGAATGTTGTCTCAATCTTGCTGGGTGCAACCATGTGTTGCGATGGAATTTTACTCTTACCCTAATGTTGGTTGTAAGCATCATGATGCCTACAAGAAGTGTAGTTTCATGCAGTTCAAGACTGAAGACATTTGGTTTGATGTCCTGTCCGTCTAGTAAAGTCTGTCGACACTGGATGGTGGTAAATCCAGCAAGACCACAGGACAAATGAGAGGTATGTTACCGAAACTAGAGTGCCCCTGAAAGAGAAGTCGTCGGGTCATCCACACTTGGTTGTGCGACTGTTTGAGTTTGCGCAGAAACGTGTATTAGTAAGATTTCTCGTTATATATACTTAATTGGCTACATCCAGTAAACGTCACAGGTCAAACAACAAACTAATTGTATAGACGGGCCATCAGCTCGTGTTGCTTTTGTGTGCACAGTTGATTGTACAACCCGTGATTATTCGGTTAGTCGTATTGCTTAGCTTTGTTTAATGGTTTCTGTTGAAAAACCCGTTGAATCTTACTTTTGTGCGTTAAGCAACGAAGCGATTACTAAGTTTCGCTGTGGGATAATTCTGCCTCACGTAGATAGTTTACTATGTTGATACTAAAATAACTGTGTTTAATTTTAGTTATGGTGATGACCGACAATTTTACGACGGGTAAGTCTTGATTAGCACTGTGTTTTCCGTTTGGTTATTGGATAAGAATAGTTCTTTTGCGATTCGCGGCACTTATTGCAATCGTATTCTTTTTTTCAGACCACCTCCAAGTGCTCAGCGTGGAAGGGGCTGGGGTGGACCGCCACCACCCCCAACAAGAGGATATGCGTGAGTTGTAAATATTTCCAGTAATCAGGTCTCTGAGGTTGATTGACATAGCTTCTCTTCATAAAATAGGTAGGTTTTGCCGAATGTTCTAGACGTGTATATGTTTGTGACGCATGTATTAGCTAGTGAAGTCAGTTGGTGATGGTATTGACATTATGTGCTGTCTGTATTTAAGTACCACAATTGCAGGTGCGACCATGTTCGGTTATATTCTCTGCAACATAATCATCAAGATCAACATGGGACCCAGCATTAGTGAGTAGCGGTCGAGGTCGCCACACCTCATCAACACATGAAGAAACGAGACAATAAGATGAGATATGAAGAAGGAGAGAAGAATCTGTCAAGAAGTGGAAAGAAGTGAGAGAGAGAGAGAGGAGGGTGGAAGTAGATGATGAGATTCAATGTAGCGGTTAGGATGAGGATAATGTGTGTAAACATCTGCTCCAGTGACATCGGTTCTGTGCCATGTCACAAGTAGTCTTCAGTCACTGGTTTCTCTTGTTCTTCAGACCTTTGCCAATTAGTCTGCATCACCCCACATGGCTCAGATGAACAGTCAAGGACTTCATTCATTGATGCCATATTTTAGTGTGGCCGGTGCGAGCATTTTCCAGCCTGAAACTACTTCGGCCAACATTGTGCGACGAGGTATACGGTGGCTGGGTAAACGTAACACATGTGTCAGTCAATCAGTCAATGAAGGATCATAACCACATCAGTTGTTGTACCTCTCTTGCGTAAAACTCTGCGTCTGACTTCTGCATTACTCACGTGGTGACATGAGGAAACGCGGTTTATGCCATGTTTTACAGCTGTGCAGTGACATAAATGGTGTTATGAGATGCGCGTTATTTGAGGCTGTGCATGAAGCAGTTAACCTAGACAAAATAAATTCAATGAGTGAAGTGTGGACTATTTTTTGTTGAAGTCTGTGTAAGAGCGGTTGTCCCCTTAATCTAATCGGGTCAAGTTGGTGAACGTGCGGAACCCATACTTCAAGTATCTAGAGTTCCGATGGCTAGTTCTCATGGTCTTGTAGTTGTTGGGAAAACACTAATTCGTCAGGTGAGAAGTGCACTACTCGACTGGATTAGAGTTGTCATTTGTCTGCTCTCTCTCTGAAATAGGGACTAGAAGGCGTGACAGAAATCGCCATTGTCTCCTTAAGTCTTTTTGCGTACCGACTGAGTGTGTATGTATAGGGCAGAAGATTTCTATTGTAAATTGTCTAACCTCTTAGAGAAAGTAAATGTCCAGATGTGGTCATTCCGCTTGATTTCAATACAAAAGTACGTAAGCTAATTGATAACGAAAAGTAAAGGTGGGTAGGTGGCACCTTCGAAATACCGACCAATTGAAGAAATAAGGGTGATTGACTGCTTAAATTGTGTTTAGACAACCACCAATTTCCGGCTAAAACAAACTTGAGAGATGTTCTGATGTGGTGACCACCAGTTTCCGAAAGACGACATCGATTGTGGTCGGGTTGACGTTAATAGGTGCGACGTAGATCGAGTGATCTTCAACACGAAACGAATTCGATGGACAAAGTGTGCACCCTTTTGTGTTTACAATTCTAGTAAGTTTTGTCGGAAGCTAGCACCATTGGCAGTTCGTCGCTCACTGAACCTTTCTAGGCATGCATTTCAACAACTCTTTCAAAAAGGCCATGTGTTACCGACTTCAACTAGGTGTCCCTTAACCTTTATGGTCATGCACTAAGACTATTTTTCAGGTACTTCAAAAAGATCTAGCCTTACACATGGGCGGCAGAGTGTTAACCACCCTTGACTGTCAGCGCTCAAGCTCTCTCAGATCACCGTCCACATCCTCATCTTCTGATCTTTCTTTGTGGCTCTCAGTTCACTAACCTACGTTATCTTTAGTTTCTCCCAGCTCTGCAGTTATTGACCAACACTCCTCATCACACTGTAAAACTTCAATAGCCGCACCTTCTGTCAAATCACTCAGCAAGCTTCACTAGCCAAAACTCTAGCAACTTGGGCCATGGATATGTGCTGTGTTTGTAAAGCACGAACCCAGGACCGAATTACGCTTATTCACTTAACCTCACCCAACCAATATGGTGGATCTGAAAAGTTCACACTTGGAGTTTCAGTGGCCAGTTCTCACACTCCTGAAAGTGTAGGTATGGCATTGAGCATTAGGGCAGAAAGTTTTCCGGACGAGTGGATCCCAGATGACAGACGTGTATGTGCTGCTCGACTAAAATCGCACAGTGACAACCCAAAGGCAATTGGGTAGGACTTTCGGAATCCCAACTGGATAAACAGATAACGGGAATTACCTACCACAACTGTCCTCAGATAACCGTTTACTTCCAGCTGGCACAAACTTGACATATAAAGAGAAACATTGTCTGATGTGACGTTCACCAATCTCAACTCAATGGTGGGCATAGACCATATTGCTATCAGTCATCGCTGGATTGTCATTGGGAGACTGTCGTCTTGTCTGAGGTACATGTTCGGAAAGCGACCATGCGTTGGTTCAAGCGCATATATGTTTTCGTCTCAATGGACGTAAGACAACTTCAACAACAAGTCCATTGAGAGTGCAGCTCAACTATAAGAGCACTAAAACTGCTTTCAGTGAGCAACTGGCTCAAAAGGTATTGGAACAGAATACTTCCACTCATCTGGAAAAACCCTAGTGCCACCTTAAGTCTGCTGTAAAAACAGCGTTGAAGACCGTAGAGAGTGGTCAGACGAAGCCAGTGGATATGAGCCACTTCTTCGAAATTAACGGATGCACGCGAACGCATCTTTGCAGGTTGCGATTACAATGAAGAGAGAATGCAACTCGAAGACAGACTGACAAGAAGTCTAAACAATGATTGCGAGCTGTTGTGGGTTGTGAAGACTAGAGAGATTCAAAAGGCGGCGACTGCAGGTATCAGTAGACAGTTGTTTGAGCTTATCAAGGGAACTAAAGCGAAAAGGTGAATGGTTAGGGAGACAATAGAGAAGGATGGGTCTGCGACCCACTGGCACGTTTGATGACTGGGACGGTTAGCGGAACACTGAGGTTCAGCCTATCCCGCCACTGTCGTTATCCACTATCCAGTCGTATCCCAAATCGGACGTCGAGTTAGGCCCCTCAACACTTGCAGGAGTCAAGAAAGTGGTAGGTAACTTGGAACGAGGAAGAACAACAACAATAAGGTTAGACGAACCACTCCCAGAGTTATTGAAGGATGATGGTCAAGGATTTTTAGCCAAGTTAACTGAAGTGTTAATAAGTGTATGGGAGTCGAATATGATCTCTTCTGTTTGGTATCAAACAGTAATTATCACAGTCTTCAAGAAAAGCGAAAAGTCATCTTGTGATAAGCACAGAGGAATCAGCCTGACGAGCATAGTATCGGAGACTCTAGGTTCTATAGTCACTGGATGCATGGTTGGAGCTCGGGAACAGAGACGGGGCAGGTTTCAGACCTGGCCTGCTACGCGTCTACTATATATTCACACCACCAGTTTCTGAAACACTTACTGACACCTTCCATATTTCGCGACTTAAAGGTGGCGTTCGACTCTGTCGTTGACGATGTCTTATGTGAATGTCTCACTTAAAGGGGTGGCTAGACCAAAACATGACTACAGTGTATGAAGTCTTTGTTCGAGCGGTGTCGGGAGATACAGACTAACCGGTTGGTGTACATGTGACATAAAAAACCAGTGGTTGAAAAGTCGAAATGATATGGTTCAGAATCGATGTCAGGAGCGCAGATTTATCCACACATTATCTTCACCTTAACCGGTATGCTGAGTCAAAAATTTTCTACTGCTTTTAACCGATTTCCCTCCCTTTATTCATCTTTCGTCACATTGCTTTGTCACTTGTGCAGATATGAAGTATGGCAACTTGGACCACTGTGCATTAGTGTCTGGTGCTGTGTTTATGTTGGTTGGTGAATTGACTACCTAATGGACCATCTGCTGTTGTCCTAGAAGCTGATTTTCAGATTCCACAGTGGCAATACGGTACATAATACCCACTAGTCTCAGTAGTCTTATTTACAGGAATCTAGACCAAGTTACCTAACTTTCCAGTGGGTTACTAGCCATTACTGATACGTATTCTTAATTATGTTTTCGCTTTTCAGCCCACCAAACAGAGGTCAACCGCCCCACCAGCCGAGGTAAGGTAACAATTAATTTTCATGTTCTCCCATTTTGTCTTCTATCAAATGATGACTAAGCGTTCTGCTCTCTCCTAGGTATTCACAGTCTGCAGAATACCCAATTCAACGTATCCCATCAACAGTTCGGTGAGTTAACATGTTTATTGTTTGTGCTGGTTGACTGGAATCCGTAGTAGTACATTGAGTCCACCCAGTTGATGCTGAGTGACCGTGTACTGTGTCATCAAACGTTGTGAAGTACTCATTGTACTGTATACCTTAAGGGTTTTCTTCCTTTCTTGTCAAAAGCTAAATCCACTGAGCCCATGACGGAGTGAAAATGATGCTAAGAGGTGCACAAGATATGACGCCATCAGCACAGTGAAATATCAACGAACGTTGAAGAAAAGATAGAATGTGAGATGTACTTGATAGTTGAAGAGCAGTGTGGTCTTCAGTACAGTAGTAAGGGAGAAAGTGGGGTAGGGTGGAGGCAAATGGTGAGAGAAAGGAGAGAAACACAAGGGTAACAGATAAGATTGGGATATCACTGAATACGTGGAAGGGGCTTCGAAGTCGCTTTCATCAAGCGTAAATGCTTGTTATCTTCGTTTTGTTTGTGTGTCTAGGTATGTTTAAGTTGCTAACCTAATGACAGTGAATTTCATCATGTGTGTGTGTGTGTGTATAATTATTGCAAGACTACTAATGTTTCGTTTGTTCACAGGTCACATCGCCATTCGGAAGCTGTTTTTCGAAAGCCCATGGAAAGAACACGTTTGCCGTAAGTGTCATAACGTTGGAAGTATTTCCCCTATAGTCCATCCAGTTCCGAATGGACGTCACATCCTCCCTCGGAACAAGGTGATGTTCCATTGTCATCAGAAAGCGAGGTTTCATCTGAGGTTGCTCGTCAAAAGAAGAGTCACCCAAAAGTGAGACCAGTGTGAGTGCTTCGTCATCATGCTCTTGAAATTATTTTCTAATGGTGGTAATTGGCTCGTTATAACATTTTGTATTATTTCTTTCAGGTGTGATCTGTCTGATGCCGTTTCAAAGTGAGTGTGTAAGGATTTTTCGCTTTAGAATTGCAATGATTCCACTTGCTGGGCAGTATTAACGTTGTCATTGACGTGATTTTTTAGATTAGGCATTCAGGGAATTGTCAGGATTCCTGCTAGGCCAGACGAGGAGGCAAAAGTGGGAAGCGGGTTACAGTTACTTCGAACTGTTGGGATGTCAGTTTTCATCACAAAACTGTGTACATGTACTTTTTGGAGGCGAATTCGGTTTGTCGGATTGATGCGAAAGAAGGTCAGAAGACTGAAGTACGGATGCCTCCGAAGGAGCTGCGCTCACTTATCCAGCAGGTAGCCGACTCGTAAGTGTTTCTTTTGTAAATAGTAAGCATTTTCATGTAGCACAGGTGAGTGGTTTTTAAAGCCTGGTGCCTAATCCTATGAGTTTGCATTCAGATTGAGGTGGTCAAGATTGTATTGATCGAAGTTGTGGAGATGTGATAAGCATGTTTAGACTGCAAGTGATTGATGTGTGCGTGTGTGTGTGTGTGCATGTCTTCAATATTTGCATTGAGACAGATCTCATGAGTGGATTGACTAGTTATGTCTGTAGAGGTCGTGAACGCAATTGCTTTGTGAAGCTGGTGCTCATTGGTTTAGACTATTGACTTTCAAGCAGTGGGTTAGGAGTTGAGACTCCATCCCATCTACCACCAGGTTGCATTATTAGGCGTCACTCAATGAGTGTTAGCTGATCAACTGCCTACTGCGAAAATGTGACGAAGGTTGTTTTTGTGTGTTTATTTGATCTTCTTCTTTGTAATCATCACAGCAGTGGGTGGATTCCATAACTACATTTAACCAAATGGTGCTGATTATCATCAATTGTTCCACATCCCCTGAATCGGTGATGAAAGCGGAATTGTCTGTGATGGTTATGGTTGGGGTCAGAGGTTGGATTGTGCAAAGAAAGAAGGTGTGTCTTGCAGTAAATCGTGATATGGTTATTTGATGACCTGGAAGTCTTTTCCTTTGTGGTTGAAATGTTTCTAACTGTAAGAGTTGGTGAATGTTGTAGTCGTGTGAGAAATTGATTTACTTCGTCACATGCAACCTCATTAGAAGTGTGTGTTATCACTGTAATGTGTGTAGTTGTACTCAAAGTCGAAGTGTGCCTCAGTCAGTGACATTGTGTATGGTCGTGCATGTTCCCATTTATGGGGATCACTCTGGGATTATGTTGCCAGTATCTCTTGGCACATGACATGTATGTGTGTGTGTGTGTGTGTTGCTTTGATGTGTAGTTCCACCCTTTCTTCCTAACTCACTGCCTCCATTTGCTTGCACAGTTTACCAGACACCATCATTTACGATGGTGGGCACGCGATATACTCTGAAGATCCTCTGCCGGGTATTACAACAGACCCCGTGGAGAAGGAGATTGAAATTAAAGACCCGCTTGGGCGTGATCGTCTTCTTCTGAAATATCGCATAATGGAAGTGCAGAAAGTGTCCACATCGGATGTTGATCATTTCATCAGAAGTCCGAAAGCAACATCGTTGAACATGCCTCAGGTAATGTTGTGTTTGATTTGGTAATTCCTGCTAGGAGTCGATTGGATTGTTGGATTGCATCTTGAAGAATGTTTCGAAACAGTCGTTTGTATCGCTTGGACGGGCAGCGCTATTTTACGAGCGACCGATCAAAATAGTTGCGGATAAACTGTTCACCATTCACAAGGGCTTTATCAGTAGTGTTCGACCGCAGTGGAAAGTCCGTGTGAATATAGACATGGTGAGTAATGATGATTGAATTGTTTACTGGATTTGTTCGTTTATTCGCACAGACTTGCAAAGCATTTTTTACGTCTGGAAACCTAGCGGATGTGATGTTTGAGAAGTATGGGGACAACATGGTGAGGTGTAGTTCTCAGATGGCGTATGATCTGAGGAGAATACGAGTTGAGACGGACAAGTTTTACAAAAGCGATAGTGGTATGCACTTGTTTTTCTCTTTCGCCTAATATTGTGTTATGTTTCAGGGAATGCGTACTCCCGACGCTTCACCATACACGGGATATCGTCAGAACCAGCGAATCGTCTGATTATTGAGAATGTGAAACAGTCTGTAGCCGAGTATTTCGAGCAACATCATCATATCACTCTGAAGTATCCAGAGCTTCCGTGTGTGAAAGTAATTGTTGGCCTGAGTGTTTATTTCCATTTTCCTAGGTTGATCAAAAGCGTGAGGTTTATATGCCAATGGAGTTGCTGAACATCTTACCGTACCAGGCACCTAATGCGAGTAAAGCTGATGTGGCGAGTGAGGTGATCCGGTGTGCAGCAGTTCGACCACAAGAACGCTTCCAAGAACTTCAGACATTTGCTAACAATATGTTGAAGTGAGTGGTTTTTATTAGCTTGACGAATGTTACTTGTGTGATGCATTCGTGTATTTGTTAGTCGATGCGACGATAGATGGTATGAGAATTGGTTTTGTTTGTCATGGTGAATATTGAGTGGCACTGTGACTCACTGATTTGCCGAGATGATTCTCAACAGATGGGTCACTTGTTGAAACACTGCTCCACTTGCCGAGGTTCGAACAGCCAGTTATTAGCGTGGTCAGCCTTCACATATTAGTTGTGACCCCAATGTGTACCAGACGAATGTGCATGAGGTTGCCGAGTGCATGAAGTCCATGAATGTTGGTGTGTGAGGCGTGTGGGCTGTGCGACTGGGGTCTCCGAGATGTTAGGAATCAGTAGTGGTTAAGTACTCTTGTTGATATGGCTGAAAATCGTTTGCAGTTATGCAGATGTATTCACTGTTCGCCGTCTTGTACAGCTTGACTATTTGCAGCAACCTTCATCTTCGAATTGTTTATTTTGTCACACTTTGATATCACTCTTATTCTCTCGAATTGTTGTTTGTGTACGTGTATTGTGTATTGTGAAGTGTGGCAACTTGAACTGAACGGATGCATTACTTGTGTGCTAGGTTCGGTTGTAGGTTGATTTTATGTGTGTGGGTGCACACAGACAAACAAACGTGCATGTGGTTGGTGAGTGCATTTGGATTTTTGACAGCTAAAATGTTTGTGAGTTCAATTTCATGTACCTGTGTTCTGTTTTGACATGTTTTGGGATCGAATCGTCTGTTTTGTAGGTCACACCCCTGATCAAACAGTTTGGTTTGGGGATTCAACCGAAGCCTGTGGAGGTTAGTGCACGTGTTATTGATCCACCGAGTGCTGCTTTTGGTCGTTCAGGCGTGCAAGCAGTGAAGGCTGGAAGCTGGAAATCACCTGGTTTCCATGAACCTGCTGGTGATGGAGTGGAGCTCTCCTGGGCAATACTTTGTGTTCCGCCTAATCAGGTATGTTGGTCACTTTTATTTAGTGAGTTGGATAAGATAGACACTGAATGGTGTGTGTAACAGCCAGTTTGCTCGATATGGCGTTGACTGTGTTGTTTCTTCCTTTTCTTTTCCGTGGAGTATAGTTACGCCTAATGATTAGTTACAGGGCAACATAAGTTGTGTTGTTATATTACTAATAGTTATGATGATGATGATATGAGGCGAAGTGGTTGATATTGTTTTCTGTGGTGATTTTTGTGTGCATCGACCTGTTGTTGTGGGTGGATAGGTTCATTATCTGATGTGCCTAGTTGACGTTAAGAAAGGAGCCGGTGTGAATCAAAGTTGAAACGTGCAAGATGTGTGAGCTATTTTCGTGGTTATGCTATATCTACTACTACTACTACTACTACTACTACTATCTCCTATCTGGATAAATCAAAATATGTTTAGTAAGTGTGTTATTTTTGTTCTGCTTCCCATATTTATTGCTAGCGATCTCGCGGTCAAGTGCAAAAGGTCTCGTCTGAATTTCCTCATACGGCGAGTCGCTTTGGCGTCCGCTTCAGTCCCCGACCGATTGTGGCACAGTGTCCTAGAGGAGAGCTGAACAGGAAATTTGAGGAGTTTTCCAGACAGGGTTGTGCCTTCCTGTTTCTCATTCTGTATGACGAGCAGGCATACCCGACGATCAAACGACTGAGCGACCTACAGATGGGTATTCGCACACAGTGTGTGCTGAGTCGCACTTTAGACAAACCGAACGTGTTCCGTAAGTGTTCCATTCTTTGCTTAGTGTATGCGACATGTTTGTATGTTTGAGAATGTAATTGAGTTTACTGTTTTTAGCGAACCTCTTGCTTAAGCTGAATGGGAAACTTGGTGGGGTGAACTGGCAGATACCGGATCTGATCAAGAACAGTCAAGAGCTGATAATGGTTTTCGGAGCAGACGTGACCCACCCAGCGCCTACACAGACTCAGCAAGTCCGAAAGTCAATCGCTGCAGTTATTGGTAGTGTGTCACCGGACCTGATGAGATACGGAGTGGTAATCCGCCAACAAGCGACGACGGAGAAGGGAAATAAGGCGGCTAGAGAGATCATTGATGATATGCGTCTTATCGTGAAGGAACTGCTTGAGGTTAGTTAGTATTGTTTTTCAGACTGACTTAGTTTGTTGTCATTGTGCTTGTTCTTGTTGTGTTGTGTTGTGTACGCACACTGTGATTGTTTGCTTGTTTATTTCAGCTTTATTTGCGAAATACGAATGGTCGGTTCCCAACACGCATGATATTCTATCGTGATGGAGTTTCCGAAGGCCAGTTTGAGAATGTGTTGGTGGAAGAGCTGGCAGCTATCCAGAGGGCCTGTACAGATATTCGTCCTGGTGAGGAGCCAGGTATAACTTACATTGTTGTACAGAAACGCCATCACGTTCGATTCAGACCGTCTGACCCCAGGTAAGCATTTTCGGATTTATGTTTGTGTTGTTCGCTTGCAGTGTGTTTTCTATCTGGGTGTTGTTATGATGGTTTCTTTGAATACTTTGTTTTGTAGGGCACGAAATGTGGAGCCAGGAACGGTGGTTGACAGGGAGATCACGCATCCGCGAGAGTTTGATTTCTATCTGTGCTCTCAAGAGGGTATTCAGGTAACTTGTTATGCTGTGTGTGTGTATGTTGATTAATCCTCGTAGGGTACGTCAAAGCCTGCCCATTACCATGTTCTATACGATGATAACAACTGGACCTCGGATGCACTGCAGACGTTTACTTACCACTTGTGCTATTCTTACATGAGGTGTTCTCGGAGTGTGTCGTACCCAGCGCCGACGTATTATTCTCACTTGGCTGCGTTTCGTGCACGTGACTGGTTGTCAGATGTTGAGAAGCCGGGAGTTTTATTGGATGGCAGTCGTTTCAAAGTGCACAGGAGCCAGGTGGATGGGATGTTCTATTTGTAATTTCTGAGATTTCCTATTGCCTTTTAGATGAAATAAATATTATTTGCTTTTCATTGAGACTTCTCAATGAGCCTGAATTGTGAATGATGTCTTGGTGTTTCTGCCTTGTGGAAATCGTAAACATTGGTGTTGTGTGCTAGATTACATGCCATCCTAGGGTGGGAACATACGGGAAAGTAGACAAAGAAGAAGTGTCAAAGCATGCTGGTGGTTATGATGTATATGTGTTGTTGGAGTGCAATCACCACCTGTTCCGACTGAAACATGCGTGCGTGTGTGCATGAAATATTGTCGAGTGTGTAGGAAGAATAAGAATTAAAATATTTGACAATCAATATTGGTAGGCAACAGTGTTAAAATAATAAGGTTGCGTTGAAATCAGACAGGGAAGAATAGGTGAGGAAGTGAGTAGAAGTTTTCAGTAAGGAGGAATTTATCAGTTTCATGCTGGTAATTGTGTTTGAATGAATATATTTGTGGGTGGGACGATTTCGACTGGTAGAACACTTGTGAATGGTGAAGGGGCCAGTGGAGTAGCTTGGAATGTATCACTACTCATAGAAATGTCAGTTGGTTGAATTCAAATGTGTGCTCTTTGTTTTGAAAGTTTCTTCATTTGATAGGAGTTGTAGAGTTAGCCCAACACAATCCTTGTTATTCATTGAGATTATACCACCACTAAGTATATCAGGGTGTGCCATCGGGCTTTCGTTATTGCGTTTGAATTGTTCCCGTTTGTGTGCTGCTCAGCCAAATGACTGAAGTGTCTTGGTTGAGTGTTTGACAACTGATGAGTATATGAAGTGAGGTATGCACCTTGGTAGTGTGGTGTATACTGTAAAGATGAAGTTGTTAGATGATACTTTTGATATATGCGATTTTCATGCAGAAGTCGAGTGTGGAGTTCACTTGGAAAGACATACACGTGAATTAAGGACGAAGTGATAAAGTTAGCAGTTGAATTGATAACCATTACACACGACTAAGGAGGAAGGCAGTACTGGCGAGATATCTGTAACGTTGGTTGACTTGAAGTTTTGTCAACCCACTGCAGTTGTTCTGTATTCGCAAACCTGTAATCTGTACGATGAATGAAACCTGGTGTTTCACTCTCAGTTTTCTTGTAGATTCATTAACACTAATTTCTTTGAGACCGAGTAGGTGACCGGTCCAATATTTTTACCAACAAAACGACAGAGGTTAACTATTTCCTATGAGCGTCTTTTTTCAGATCGCCGAGGCGGCACGAGTACGATCCTCTCTACACATATTTCTTATTCGATAGTAGAGAGAATGAATAGGATCTCATTTCCTATTAAGAGGTACGCAAATATAAAAACTAGTTAGTTGTCCATTCCCTATTGCTTTTCTGTAGATGGATGTTTTATGGAATCCACTGTCATATATGGTGAGAAGTACATCAAGAAAAGGAATAATTTGGTTGTGATTCCTTCTCCATGGTGAATTTCATAACTGAATGACAGTTGTTGAAGGAACAGAGAACATAGTTACATCAACAACTTTATCACAGATCGTAAATGTGTCGTCCATTTATCTGCTATGAATGAGCAAAGCTTGAGAGTAAGTTTGTTGAATATCTTGTTTGTACTATGCTGACAAGCTAGTTGACATTGACCAACTCGAGTTATTATCTTTCGTCTGTTAAACATCTCTCTGTTTCCCTATTGGTCATCTCGTGATACGTTTCCTCCTTTCATAGATGTGAGAATATCACATTGACATCCCCATGAACCTCAAAACACATTACTGTGTATTCCTCACTGGTGACATGCTTCGAGTTGGATATTGTGAAGTTGTAATGAGAAGCCAGCCACGACCTGTAGGGTCAACCACTCAGAAGTGAAGTGGATGCCAATTAGAGACTTTGTACGATAGTTACACTGTATCGCGAAATGACAGAAGTTGGCAACTGTAGAACATTGCACTTCGACTGTCTGACTGAGTGGTAAACGCGTTGATCGTGTAATCTGAAGTCGATGCGTAGTCGTGTATCGCTGAGGAGTCCCATACTGGGACGAGATAACTGTTCTTAAACCATCGGACGGTGACTTCACAGACTGGTGCCACATGTTTATCTGACCACCCTGAACCCTATCCCAACTTCGTGCAACTCAGCAAGTCGAGGTGGGCGGTGGTTCGGCATGTACAAGCCACCACAGTCGATGAAGACTCACAACCTCGTCGACTGATTTACCTTTTTTTCTAATGCCTTTCTCCTGACATCAATATTGCTCATGTGATCATTCTACCTAACTACTATAACTTGATGGTATTCATTCCAGTGTGACTGGTTGTTATCATCTGGTATGTGCCTTAAACACACGAATATTCCATTTAATTATTGCACGTTGTACTTTTCCGTCCGGCATGCAAGGAATAGCAAGTGAGATGTGATTGGTTGGTTAGTTTGTTGAAAAGACAATGTATTTGTGTAACGAGGAGACATTTCTATTGAACTAGAATAATTATTTGTAGCTTAGAAGACTGGCTTCGAAAATCATGATTAGTAGTTGGATAAAATTACTTTTGGAACAGTAATCACCACTCAATTTAGATAAGGCTCAAGATTTATGTGGAACGTGAAGTTTCCAGGCTCGACCCCTATCGGTGGCATGGGTGCCTACTGCTGGGTCGTCCCATACTAGGACGAAGCAGTTGTCCATTGCTCACAGGTTTCCAATGACTTCAGTTCATGGTGAATACTACCTGAAAACTAAAATCCTCATAAGTCTCAAACTATATATCATGCAGGATTGTTGGAGATTTTTATTTTGTAGTGACGAAGTATATATGGAAACTGTTGAGATTAACTTACAACTGTTCAAAAGGCTTATTGAATTATCTAGATAGTTATCAGAATGCACCACACTACTAGCTGTAATTTTAAGGATAATGTTGATGAACCAGTTTCATTATTTGTGATCTCCGTTAATTTGCTCATTTCGGATCAATGTTTATTGAGCAATCATGTAGATATATAGACACTCTCGAAAATGTATCATTGTGCTTATTAAGAAATCTTGACTGTAGATTTATTGCGAAAGGTAAAGTATCACACTTGGAAATTTTTTACAAATAACTTATTTTACCTGCTACCAATGTAGACCTGTTATTGGACTTGGTAAGCTTCGAAGAATTGATACAGCATGCGAATTCTTATTGTTATTTAATAACTTCAGTTAATGGGTATTTAATTTCTTGTGGAGAAGTGGAAATCCAAGTATCTTCAATGGGCCTTCTATCTATGAACAGCAGTTTCAGAAAGTAAACTCCTTTACTTGAAGGGGTGCCGAGTAAGTTAATACCTTACTGAAGGCTCTCTACTCGAACACTTGTTGGCGTGTAAGAGCCTATGGTGAGATGTCCAGGGATCTATGCTCACTGAGTGGTGTCCGTCAAGGGTGCCCGCTGTCTCCATTCTTATTCAGTCTTATCATAGATATTCTCATGGATGTCTCACTCTCGTCACCTGATTACAAAGAGGTCGACCTAATCGCGGGACAATTTTCTTTAGACCTAGAATATGCAGATGACATAGTCCTGTTAGGGGAAGACGCTGACAAGATGCAGTCTTCTGAACACTTTGAGTGGAAATTTGAGAATGTTTGGGATGCGTTTCTCACCACCCAAATGCAAATTGTTGCTCCACGATTGGTCTTCAACGGTGCCTCGGCTAGCAATAGAGAGTGGGGTGATTGAGTGCGTCGACCACTTCACCTACCTGGGAAGTAGGATCAGCCTTGCCCTGATGGCTCAGTGGCCGATGAAATCTCTGCATGGATACAAAAGGCTCAAATGGCTTTCGCTAACTTACGCCACCGTGATATCCGTTTGTCTATTAAACGTTGCGTGTACTGCACACCAGTCCGGTTTGTTCTGGTGTATGGCTGTGAAACATGGTCATTTGAGGTAGAAGATATGAGAAGGCTTCAGGTGTTTGACCACCACTGCCTTCGTAGTATATGCCGTATTCCGTGGTGTCACCATGTGAGTAACGCAGACGTCAGGTGTGTAGAGTTTTAGGGAGTAGAGGTAAATCAGCTGACGAGGTTTTGAACCTTCAACAACTGAGGTGGTTGGAGTACGTGTTACCTATGCTTGGTCGCCGTCTGCCTCATCACACAATGTTGGCCGAAGTAGGTCCAGGCTGGAAAAAAGCCCGAGGTGGCCAGACTAAAACATGGCATCAATATATGAAGTGTTTGACTGTTGCTTTGAGCCATGTGGAGCGATGTAGACTAGCCGGTTGGGGTCGGTAGGACAAGAGGAACCAGTGGTTGGAGACTAGGTGATATGGCTGAGAACCGAAGTCAGTGGCACAGATTTATACACACACACATTATCCTCATCTTAACGCTATATCAAATCTCACCATTTCCTCATCCTTCCTCTCTCTCTCTCCCTCCGTACTTTATATTTTTTTTGACTGAATTTTCTTTTCTGTATCTTCTACTTCACTACCTTGTTTACTTTATATACTGATATGAGGTATGGCAACTCTGACCGTTACGCAGTAATGCCTGGTCCTATGTTGATGATGATTTCATTCCTATCATTTCTCATATTGAGAAAACGCATGGATTCCATCGAGAAATATCCCAGTTGACGAAAGCAGACTGCCAACGTGAAGCATAACAACTTCGAATTCACCCATATGGTTTATACATTATTGTTTGAAAGTGAAGTTTTAGGATGAATAGCAAAGAGCATTGCTATTCTCTACCTTTTTCCCTATTCTTTTTATATTCTTAAAACTTTTATCATTAGTTGATATTCAGTTGAAATGTTTAACCGTTCAGCTTTTCAAGTAAACAATCGTTCGTCAGAGCACAAATGCAATAGCGAAATGTTTTACACCTCATTCATAAGAATTTGGATAAGCTACATAGACAATATATTTGTTATCATTGAACGCAACAGTCTGGATGAAATAATCCAACATGTAAGTAATAAGTGAAGAAGTAATAATTTCACCAAAG